TGTCTCAACATTAAAATACACTATTTAAAAACATCTCAATCATCCACATCTAGTTGGTATGGTAATGCCATACTGGCTGTTTTGTTAGAGTTGTGTCATTGTCATGAAATATTCCATGCACTAGACCTTGGCTACACAGTCATTGAAGCTATCTAGAGTGGATGGATTCAAGAAGTGAATCCATGCCTGAAACCTTTATATATGACTTATCTCAATTGATCAAGTTTCTTGCAAAAATATATTTAATTAGCATTTAATCTTATTTTCTTATTCAAAGATATTTCACCCAGAACATAGCTCAGTAATTTGATCTTGACTGGACTGCCCAGTTTGATGCAAATATAGTGGAGAGTGTGAATGTGGGGAAAACTGTTCAGTATAGATATTTATTTTTCCTGTTCTACATATTTGTTCATTTCCTTAGTGCCAGTTTGAAGTGCCAGCTTGAACTTGCTGCGAAGTGAACTACGAATCAAAACCCTGCTCAGCCATAAAACTGACACTTGGCAGTCACTTTCTATTACTGTAATTTTTTCCTAGATAAGTTGTGAGGATAAAATGGGCAAGACTATTTTCAGTTCCTTGGAAGAAAGATGGGGTATACATGTAGTCATATATAAACAAGATGGGTTTTATTTCTGGTAGCTTGGTGGTAAGATTTCCAGATATCCCTTTTTATCTGAGATAGCGATACAGCTATGTTCCATTATGATGCAGAAATGCTGACATATTCATATTATGTTCATATTCAAGCACTATTTCTTTATGTAGCCTTACAGACTACTAGTTTTTCCTCATGAGCTGAAATAGGAAGTATTTGGCCCCAGAAAGGCTAATAATCCATTATTTATCATACCCAGCCATGAGAATTTGGGACCTAAGATTCACAGGTCAGACAATTTTGTAACCAGTTACTGGACTGCAAAACAACACATTTAAGAGCTGAAACAACATTTTCTATTTAAAGAAATCATTGATCATAGTTCTTCTGCCAATTATTTATCTGTGACTATTGCCATTTCCTTTTAATGTGTTTAACATGGGGCTCAAATTCTTTGAAAGCAGAATTGTAAAGTGCATCTTATTGGCATAACAACAGTTTCTGCATCATCTTTAAGACTGATACAGAATTGTGTATCCACATTGCACAATAATCATCCTCTTTATGGCTTCAATGTATGCCTGTTGATGGCCAGGACCTGGAGTCCTGTGGCTGTCTGCATCAGTGACAACAGGCAAGTTGATGTGCACCGGCCAAAGCAGTCTTGATGCAAATTTATTTATTTGCCATATTTGTACCCCACCCTTCTCTATCCCGACAGGGGGACTCAAAGCGGCTTACAATGGCACAATGTCATGGCTCAGCACAATCACCTAAACATTTCAAACATTGCAACATATTAAACAGAGTTAAAACAGATGTAAAAGGTTATATTTAATTAATTTAGGATTCAAGACTACACAAATAATGTTTGCTTATTATCTTCAGAATTTAATTAACACTTTTGAAATATTATCTTGAATCAAAAGAATGAGACAGCATTTCCTTTCTTATAAAAGGAAATCTCTTGTTTTTGAACTTGTGATCACCAGCATGTTTTAAAGCATCTGTGGAAAGTACAATAAACTTTAAGAATGACATGCAGTATTGATTTCATGGTGTACTATTTCTGTTTGAAAAGCTGTTATAAACAAGCTTAACCCAGAGGAATTTGATTTACACAAATCAGCACCCAAATTGCTTGTTTTCCCATGGAAACAAACTGCTGGCTCTGTATTCTCAAGGGTTTCCAAATAGAGTTGGAAGACTTCTAGATTTTGTACTAGGAAGATCAACTTTTGGTGAAAGTAATGTTAACTTTTTCTAAAATAGCTGCCTGTTGTCTAAGACGATATTGCCAGAAAATCTATGGGCCCTTCAAACTTGACTCTTAAAACAGCAAGTAAACACTTATTCCCAAGCAATAGAGTCATATAATCATAGAATCATAGAGTTGGAAGAGACCTCATGGGCCATCCAGTCCAACCCCCTGCCAAGAAGCAGGAAAATCACATTCAAAGCACCCCCGACTGATGGCCATCCAGCCTCTGCTTAAAAGCCTCCAAAGAAGCCTCCACTACACTGCGGGACAAAGAGTTCCACTGCTGAACAGCTCTAACAGGAAGTTCTTCCTAATGGCAAATAACACTAGTATTTGGCAAATGGATTGGTAAACAGAATAAAAAAGCCAGTATGACTTCTGACAAAAGGTATTATTTTGTGTTGTCGAAGGCTTTCATGGCTGGAGTCACTGGGTTGCTGTGAGCTTCCCAGGCTATATGGCTATGTTCCAGAAGCTTTGAAGCTGCAAGGCTATTCAATGCTAATCAAGGTGGCCAACTGCAACATTTACATTTGCCTCCAACAGACAAGAGTTCTTTCTCCCACTCTAGACATTCTGCGGATATATAAACCCCACTTTCCCAATTTCCAACAGACCCCTCAACCTCTGAGGATGCCTGTCATAGATACAGGCAAAACATCAGGAGAGAATGCTCCTGCAACATGTCCATACAGCCAGGAAAACTCATAGCAACTCAGTCTTGGATTAGCTGGATTGTGTTGACTGCACTTTGTCACAGACTGGGGACAACGTATTTGGCCACCTTCAAGGCAGGCATGTAGCTGTGGGGGGGGGGGGGGGGCTTTGGGGGCTTCACCCCCCCCCCCAAATTCTCATGGTGGTCTGCGAAAAGGCCTTACTGGTACATTATTCAGACTGTTATGTTTATTCATATCATGATCTGATCACCATGCTCAATATATCGCATATGCATGGGGGTATTGGGGTAACGATACAAAAGGTTTGCTAGGGTAGATCCTCTTTCACTCAGACTCAGCCCCCCTGAATCAAACTCAGCCCTCCCCCGAATCAAAATCCTGGCTACAGGCTTGCTTCAAGGCTTCTGGGTCCAGCAGTAAGTGGCCAGTGAAGATGAGTCCCATATGCAATAAATGAAGTAAGCTGAGCAGTAAAAGGGACAACTGGAGAAAGAGAGAGAAACTTGAACAATTTTTTAAAAGCAGAAAAATTGGGATGACAGGAGAGTCATCAGTAATGTCTCTGTCAATCTGAGTCAATTTGTGGGGTATGTGGACTTTTAGTGTTTTCACTGAATTTTGAAAATGAGGTTGAAAATGAGGGCTAAATATTTAATGTTTTCCCCCTAGGTGAGACTCATTAGTAAGTTTTGTCTAAATCAGAATTCTCCAAGCATTTTGTGTTGGTGACAAACTTTTTAGACGTGCATCATTTCGGGGTGCAGTAATTTGGTTTTATAAGCAAACCAGAGGTTAAACCAACCCTTTATAATAGATAAGGACACATGTATAAATTGTAATAAAGAACTGTATGGAAACATAACAGATCTCATGAAAACCTTCATTTATATTTTGAAAAATATATGATTTGCAAATTAATAACATAAATTTACATAATGTTTGTCATCTCTTGTTATGTTTGTGCAACATACCTCTACAATGCAGCCAACAAACTAACAAGTCATAACACATTTTGAAAAGCTCTGGTTTAAATTGTTCTAGGTCCTACAAGAAAGAACGGAAGAAGCAACAAGTTTATCATTCTGCATCCTTGACAATGACCCTGACCAAGCAATGACCCCCACTGAAAATTTTCAGGTTTAAAAAATCTGGTTTACTCATGAATTTTAACTGGTTAACCAAATCCCCATGCTAAATCGATGAGAAGCAAAAATTAAACGAGTTCCTCTAGAACTGCAAGCACTATCTCAAGCAAATTTTGACAATTGATTCACAGTCATTACCTGCAGCAATAGTTTTATACTGTGAAATGCTATTTTAAATTCTAAGTCGCTTGGAGCACCTTGGTGGAGAGCGGCTAATTAAGAAATAAAGTGAAGTGAAGTGAAGAAGTGAAGTTGGCCCAACCATGACTGGCAGGAAAAGCCTAAGTCAATTTGGGGGGGGGGATTTGAAAGCCCCCATGAAGGAGATCAGACTTGGTGGGGGCGGTTGCTTTGCTCTGCTCCCCCCCACTCCCAGCTGTGCTCTTTGTTTCAGCTTGAGGTAGGAGGCAGATTCCTAATGGGGAATTAGGCTTTTCCCTCCTTGTTCCCCCCTCCCTTTTTCCAGATAGTAGGGTTCCCATTGCTATTCCTATATATAGGTCGTTTTCAACTCTTAAATGTTTGAAAACATACATAAGAAGCAGGCCCGTAGCCAGGATTTCGTTGGGGGGGGGGCTGTATTTTTTTTCAGGGGGGGTTTTTCGGGGGGCTGAGTTTCGGGGGGGGCTGAGTCTGAGTGAAAGAGGGTCTACCCTAGCAAACCTTTTGTATCATTACCCCAATACCCCCATGCATATGGGATATATTGAGTATGGTGATCAGATCATGATATGAATAAACATAACAGTTTAAGTAATGCACCAGTAAGGCCTTTTCGCGAACCACCATGAGAATTTTGGGGGGGGGGGGGGCTGAAGCCCCCTGAGGCCCCCCCCCCCCCCGGCTACATGCCTGATAAGAAGCACAATGGGGCAAGAAAGACTGATTGGACTTGCACTCTTGAGTGTCCTCTGAAGTTTATCGATAGAGCCTGATTTCTGCCAAAGTGTATTGACAGAGTTTTCAAGTGTTTCCAACAGATGGTGTGGTATTCTTTTGTAACTATAAATTACCAATTAACAGTTATTTTCAGTTATTTGGAGACATGAAACTTTGCAACTAAAATAGAAAATTGATTTAATTAAGCCTATATACAAATATAGAATGAACCATGCTTTAAATTATTTCATCTTATGGAATTACTCTTCATGATTCACTAAAACAAAGTTTCACCTCTCTCCTGAATTTTTTTTTCTGGCTATGGCCTTGATCATGCTCATTAAAATAAATAGCTAAGCATTGAATAGCTGAGAAGATGACAAAACATGTTGTAGGAGGTGCTTCAAAATATGCTTTATATGCAATTATGTTTGAAATCAGTTGTGCAGCTCCTTGAAGAAAAGAGGAACAGCCAAAGTGACAGAATCTGTGAGTCTTTCTGCTTGCCATTATTTAGCTGTTGGTTTGTGTAGCTACACTTTGTCTTGCACCTTATTCTCCCATAGCAATGACATTGTTGAGGAACAGTTTTCCTGAAACGAAGAAACAGAAAGGGCTGAAATGCTTTGATATATTTTTTTTAATTGGAGTGTGTGCATGCTAGTCTTTTGCAGCAAAAACAGCAGTCTTGTTCAACTTTGTAGAGGAATGAATTTTATGTGGCATAAAATACTGTGGAATTTCCATGAAAGTTTTTATCACATAACAGCTTGTTTTTGAAGTGCCTTAAAGCTCTTTACTTATATATATATATATATATATATATATATATATATATATGCATGCTGATTTGGGTTACTGCAAAGTTATCAATATGAGATTATACATTTCTTTTACTGGAAACTTTTAAAACTTATGTCAGTTGAAGAAAAGTAAATGTTTTCCTATCAGGATTATGATTGCTTTGATGAGTCAATCCAAGATGTAATAGGCGTCTTTAAAGAAAGAAATTGCTTAACTTTATCATTTTTCTAATTTAGCAAAACGATGTTTCTGCTGTATTTCCCCTTGCTTGCTGCATTTTTCTGTGAATGTGCTGCACAGAGAAACTGTAAGTGTTATTCTATGTTGATTTTAACACACATTTTCTTAAAATGCACACAAACTAAATTTACAAATGAGCTCTCAAACAAATCAACAGATCATAGGAGCACTCTGGACATCTGGTCACTGCAAATGTTACTTCCATTGTCATGCTTTATTAACATCAAGATGGCTATGAAATGTTGAAGGAGACAAAAAGTTGCCATGGATAGAGTTGGCTACATGCTTCCATGTCAAAATAGCAATTCCCAGTCTACAAGTAGAAATTGGGTCCAATATCTGTACCCATGCATGGATTGTAATTGACAGATTAGCTACCCACCTTCCACTAAAAATAAAGACCATCATTTCATAAGAGGGTAATGGAGGCCACTAGTGTGAAAAGAGAAGCTATTTTCTGTACCTGTAATGACTTCCATTTTCTGAGTGTGTCATCTGTAAATCCCCTGCATTATTAACTTCTTTCAGGCTTTCAAACTGTTTCTATGCACAGGGAATCACCTGAAGTTGACTTCCAAGCATTTCTTAAGTGTGCATTTCTACACACTTAAGAAATGGGCTTTAATGAGGAACCCACAGAATGATCTTGTGTCATGTGATGGGCTTTGTGGGACTTGGAGAGGCACCTTGAAGTCTAAAGATAGTTTTGTCTACCTGTTCATGGAAAATAGGTTTTTCTAGAAGGATGACAGCTCTGTGGCTACTCAGTTTGTGCTGGGTTAATAAAAACTACCTAGATTACTTAGATATAAAAAGCAGAGGGCTAGAAAAATCTCACTGTTTATGTTGTTTTCATTCTGTTTCATTCTCATTTTCCATTTTGGTCCTATTAATTCTGTTATAGTAAGGTGCAAAAAGTCAGCCCTCAACATTTGCTGGGATTAATGGTATAAGCCATCCATGAATGCACAATAAAGAAAAACAAAAACCCACACATAAATAAAGAAACTGCTATTTTTTACCTGACAGAACACCTCTCTTGGAATTTCTAGATAGCTTATCTTAGAATTGTACTAGAGGGATCTAGAGAATCCTTGAGATATGTCCTCTTTAGAAATCTCAAAAGTCAAAACTGCAAATGTAGAGGGATGAATATATAGCTACACTTAATTATTAACACCAGTTGTCCATTTACCTAGGAATTATTCCACATATTTCTGTATGTTTGATTTTCTCCATTATCAAATAAATATTTCCTTTTCTAAGATTGTGGGTGCTCCCTTCCAAACAACCTTGGTACAAAATCCAGTGATTTCCCACCTGCTGTTTAAGGTTTGGGGCTGAAGGCACTAGAATTAAAAAAAATGTCTGTTTTGCCCCTCAATTTCTTTTGCCTCTCAGGTGTATCTTATTAAGTTTGGGAATTCCTTGCTCTGGACTGAGTGGGACAAAATTAGATTTTACTATCTATATAAATAAAAATGTAATGTTTGTGCTACCATCAGAACTCAAAAACCACTGGGGAAATTGACACCAAATTTGGACACTAGACACTATCTCAAGCAAGCTATGTTCTCCACTGACAAAAACCCCAAAAAACACTTCCCCTCCCTCCCCCCCCCCTCAGAAAGACGTCCAACTTAAGCCTCAGGGAGGGAGGGGGGAGGGAAGGAGTGCACGTGCATGGCCAGCAGGCTCCCACGGAGGCTCTCTGTTCAGGAGCTGGAGGAAAAGCCCTCATCCCCGCAGGCCTGCCTTAAAATATCTCTCCAGACCCGACTAATCTACCGCCGATGGGATGGATTCGGGAGAAAGGAAACTCTGCGGAAGCAAAAGCAATCAAGCTCAGAGCAGATCCATTGATAACCCAGGCTCAGAATACAGAACCCCCTATTCATGTCAGGCAGGAAGACCCCATTCAAGCCCTCCCAACAGATGGCCATCCAATTCCAACCCCATTCTGCCAGGCAGGAAGACACCATTCATTCTACAAATATAGCATCCCAAGCATATAGGATCAAATAGCATAATAATAATAATAATAATAATAATAATAATAATAATAATCCAAAATAATAAATATATCAACTCTAATAGCTTTAAGTCAATGATATGACACATAAAAATCTATCCCAAAGAACTACAAAAAATTGAACTGGCCCAACGAATCCATACTGCTATGTAATAATTGGCAATATATATCTATAAATGTATATAACCCTTTCAAAATATTTTTGATAACATGTTAATTATAAAATACTTATTTAATTTTAAAATATTTAATTATTTTCATTTAAAAATATTTAACTTTTGAATACTTCATTTAGATATTTTAAGTTTAAAATATTTGTTTAATTTAAACATATTTTAATATTTTCATTATAAAATATTTAATTCTTTAGTTCTAAAATATTTCATTTACATATTTTGATTTTAAAAATTATTATTTACATTATTTTATTTTAATATTTCAAATTTAAAATATAAAATTGTTTAATTTTAATATTATTCCTTTAATTTTAATATTATAATTTATACATATTTAATATTTACATTTCATAATACTTTATTTTAATGTATTTTATTTGGTTTAATTATGAAATATTTAATTACTTAATAATTTGATTTAAAAAAATTATTTAATTTTAAATTATTTAATTTTAATGTTTTAATTTTAAAATATTTGTTTACCTATACAAAATTTAAATCTAAAAGTACTTGATTAACTTTAAAATACTATACTGTTAGTATTTTAATTTAAAAAGTATTTAGTTGTTTACTTTTCAAATATTTTCCATATCACCGAGCTAGGCCACAGCAACGAGTGGCTAGGAGGGAGACTGGGGAGGGAAGGGGATCACCGGGGAAGGGGCCCTTGGATGCCACACACGGAAGGACGGGTGCAGGAAACCCTTTGAGGTATAGGAAGGGGCCCCAAAGGACATCCAGTCCAACCTCATTTTACAGTAAAGGAAGACACCATCAAAACTCTCCCGACGGATGGTCAACCAGTTGGAAGGGAGTCCCAGAGGCCATCCAGTCCAACCCCCTTTGTCTGTCTGTATGTCTACCCATCCTTCAATCCATCAACCACTCCATCTACATATCTATCTACCTACTACCTACCAACCTATCTATGTTCTCTCCATCTACCTTCTGTTCCATTTATCAATGCCCCTTCCATCTGTCCCTTCTGTCTATTGCTTCAACTGAAATTCCTCTCTTATCTGAGGGCCACAGCAACGTGTACAGCTAGTGTTTCAAGATAAAAAATTTGCAAGAATGTTCTTAGACACTGGTATGCCTCCTTGTCTCTCTATCCTCTATACTTGTGGTTCTCAACTTGTGGGTCCTCAGGTGTTTTGGCCTACAATTCCCAGAAATCCCAACCAGATTATCAGCTATTAGGATTTCTGGGAGCTGAAGGCCAAGACACCTGGGGACCCACAGATTGAGAACCATTGCTACCCAGTACACACACTGGAGCTGGGGGAATGGAGGTGGATCAACAAAGGCAGATCTACAGATTCACCAGAAATGGGGTCAGGTTCCAATAAATTGTAAAATCCCCGCTTTTGTACATACATCAAGTGATCATATGAATGCATGACTTCATCTGCACTGGTTTAGAGGAAGAGTTTTTGAATCTATTCATTCACTCCCAGGGTTTGCAATAGAAGGCGAGGCTTTTGTTATGGAGTGTCAACTCTCTTCTATGACCTGGTATCTTGGTGACACAAGCATCTCTACAGACAAAGAAGCACGGATGCATTCTTCGGGACGCGAACTTTGGTTTCTGCCAGCTTTCACTAAGGACTCTGGAAATTATACGTGTGTTGACTCTGAGTAGGTAGAAAGTGGGACAAAAACGTTTCTTTTTTTGCTTTAGTTGGTTAGGTTTTTTCCCCAAAAACAGATTGGCTAACTTTCTGTTCATTATTTGGTATGTAGTAAGTCAGACTTATGACATTGTAAATTTTGGAATTCAGATTTGTGGTTGTTGTATCATTGCAGTGATTGTAATGATCCCTGCCAATCCAGGGATTTCTGAGCTGCTGGGAAATAAAGCAGTGACTGAAGACATGTTCAGTCTGTCCCAGCAGAAATGTAATTTGTGAAAGGCAACAAGGTCCCTGCAGTGGCCTGCTGCAAAGTGCTTCATTTTCCAGGACCTGAAAACCCCTATATTGGTGAGGCTGTCTGGCTTGTAAGTTTTGGTTTTGGAGGTGGGCCTACCCAGGGAGATATAGTTATGATGATGGAGCTCAATTGTCACATCTACCTCTCTTCAAGCAGGATCTCAACCACTGTTGTTTTGTATTCACAGGGATGCTTTCACTGAGGTTGATACTGTAACTATATATCCACGAAGAGAAAGCATTTGTTACCACGAGAATATGTTATATAGTGAAACTGTGGGAAGTCCTGGATCAGGAAAAATTTATTGCCCGACTTTTGATTACTATAGGAACGCATCTGCCCCCAAGTGGTACAAGGTATGTATTAGGCCTGTGCGATCAATAAAAAAAGTTTCAATACTCATTACGGGCGGGCGGCAGCGAATCATTTCTAAAGGGTTTCTAAAATATTGTAAGGGGTCTAAATTGTTATTATAACGACATAACAACATTTTTGTTACTTTTTCATTAAGGAATGAATCCTAGTAGACGTAAGGAGAACAAAAATAAGGAATTCCTTATTTTCTGTTCATTTCCCACTAATATTGTTTTATAGCTACTTTGTGCTTAATGAGTATCCTATCTTTTACACTTTTATTTTAAAAAAACAACAACAGAATGTCAGTGCTTCTCAGATGCTACTGATTCCTCCCTTTTGTTATTTGGTGGGTTTGGCTACAATCCTGAGTTTAAATTACAACTAACACTACATAACAAAATTTGAAAAATAATGTTCCTGTTTGAAAGTGTTATTTCCCTTTTAATTGTGTGGAACTTACATTGAAAGGAGTTGTTATATTCCAGAAATTTCATTTTTGTGTCTGCCACAAACTATGTTGAATTGGTTGAGACTCTACCAAAAAACTATACCAAAATGTACTGCAGGATGTCCCACAGAAACAAAGTTTTTGCAGTTTAATAAAATTTTCCCATGTTTTTAAATGATAGACCCAATTAGGAAATGAAACATATAACCCAGTAAAAAAAATTGTGTTATATAGTGTAATAATAAAGATCAAAAGCAGAAAATATTTTTTTTATTTCAGGACTGTAAGGAACTCTATGGATCAAGATACAGGACAGAGAAGAAGATGCTTCTCATTCATGATGCAAATGTAAAGGACATTGGAAAATATACTTGCCAGTTTACATATAGACATGGTAACAGAACATTTAATGTATCTGCAACAAGGGGTTTTAGAATTGATGGTAAGAATATAGTTTCTAAACTTCTGTTTTGCTTGTTTGTGGGATTACATACATATTGATGCTCCAGACAGTTAAAACGTATGGCATATTGCTTACAAAAGGTATCCTTCAATGAAATGAAAAGTTATGTCTGAAGTGCACTAACATCAATTGCAAGACCTGAATTACCAGTCTGTATTTATTTCTGCCTGTTTTGTACTTAGTTTTCAAGCACAAATGATGTACACATATAATTAATCTTTTAATGTGTGCTTCGACATCATCTATACATTGTTAATGCATACATTCAATCTTATTGTAATAATAATAATAATAATAATAATAATAATCTTTATTTATACCCTGCCACCATCTCGTACAAACTCATAAATATAGATTTGTAAACACTACACTTCAATTTAGTTATTGTTTTATATTAAATTCTGGATAAAGGATGCTTAATCTATATTGGATTTGGTTCAGGATGACAAAACATGTGTGATTAGAATCTTGCAGAAACTCACCTAGGAATTAATTTCATTGGCCAATTGGGATTTAATTCTCAGAAAAATATGAATGTACAGTAAAGACTACACAATGCCACAATTGTAAATAGATTTGGTTTATGAATGGACCAATATGTGCTAGCATTTGTACAAAGTTTCTTACAGATTTCGATAGATAAAATAGCTAATTTTAATTTTTTTAAACTAGACTTAATATAACATTTTTTTAATCTTCTCTTCCTCCCATATCCAAGAACTTTCTTTACGGAGACCATTAACAGTTCAGTATCCACAACCCAACGAGGTTATAGAAGTCAAAATTGGTAAGGATATTATGTCTTTAATTGCTATATTTTCAGAGGGGAAAGAAATACATTTTTATTTTGTTGATCAAATCAGATGATGCCTCAGATAAACCCGGATTAATGAGGATTAAACTGGGATTTCCCAGTTTACTCTGGATTGATTTGACACTTGGAAAGATCTGGACCTTCAGCTAAGGTTCAGATCTTTGCAGGTTCTGGGCTGGTGAGGATTGACCCTCGGGACTGCTTCCACAGTCCTGGAGGTCAATCCCCACAGCCATCCCATTTCTTCAGGATCCTGGAGCCTGATGGAGTGGGACGGCACTCCACCCTCCCACCCCCCATTTCCCCCCAAAAGAACTTACCAGAGGGACTGCCAGTAGTGCAGGCCCATCTGTAGAGTACTTCTGATGCATGAAAATGATGCATCAGGAGGTGGGGGCCCTCTCCCACCACCTTACGTTCTGCTTCTAGGCTTGTTCTCCAGTAGGTTTTTTTTTAGAAATGGGGCTGGGCAGGGGCATCTAGCCACCCCTCAAGGAAGAGCCTGAGGTTTGGGTTGGAAACAGAAACATGGGATGAAATGAGTTAAAATAACCCACTTCCTCCTGGGCTTTTTCTTTGTTTGGAAGTGCCTTACATGAAAATCACATCATGTGAATAAATTAAGAGACTGACACCCCAGAGAGTGAGGCAGGTGTGTGTATATGTGTGTGTATGGGAAAAAGTGTCCAGTTTCCCACAGTTTGAGGCTAATCTCTGCAATGTGTATGAGCAACATACAGCCTTTAGACTGGTTCCATGACTTCACATAATGATGCATAGGTTAAACACCTCTCTTTTCTGTCAGTTTCTCACAGGCCTAAGTGGACATGTCACTGTGTTCTTGGAGAGATGTATAAGTTAGCAACTACTGAGCAGAAGCATGATTAAGATGCCACTTCTAGTAAGATATTGGATACACACATTTCAACGTGGGCTTAACTCCTCATCCATTGCTGCTCTCATGATTTCATTTGCCGTGTCACATACAATGGAATCATAGTGCTATAAAAAGCTCCCAGGCCTCAAACTGCTCCTTGCCTCAGTGAGACAAATACTAATGGAGGCAGGCAGTGACAGATAAGAAAATCAAGGCAAGAACAACACCAGTGTTTCAGTCTGGAAGGACAACCCTGCTCATATAATTTACATAGAAATAAGTTCCACTGTATGATCTTTTCCACGGTAAGTGGGTGTGGGCATGCAGTCCAAAAGTGAAAACCTTGTCTCTCATATTAAACATAACAGCCTCCAGTGATATCATAAAATTGAACAAACTGAAGACCTCCATCATCACAGCCTGGATATCAAACCAAGAAACATCAAGATTGGTTTAAGGAAAATGGCAATGAGATTAAACAGCTAATTGTGAAGAAAAGGAAAGCCTTCCAAACATGGCAGAGAGACATCAACTGTGCTGCTAAGAAAAAGATCTACGCCAGTGCAAAAGCTGAGGTCCAAAGAAGGACAAGAGAACTCAAGAACATCTGGTGGACAAAGACGGCTGAAGAAATCCAACACCTGGCAGATACCCATAATGCTCAGCGATTTTTCAAAGCCACAAAGGTCATCTATGGACCAAGAAACCATGGCATACAGCCTCTACGCTCATCAGATGGAACCAAACTTCTGAAGGACAAACAATGAATTGCACTATGTTGGAAAGAACACTACCAAAGCCTCCTGTTTCGCAGCTCTAATGTGGCCAAAGAGGTTCTCTCACAAATCCCGCAACAACAAACCAGGGGTGAGCTTGCAGCACTGCCTAGTTTGGAAGAAGTCAGCAATGCCATCAGCCAACAAAAAAATAACAAAGCCAGCAGACTTGATGGGATCCCTGCTGAAATCTTTAAAGAGGGAGGACCCGAGCTGACACACAACAACTCCACCATTTCTTAGAAAAAGTGTGGGTAACCGAGAAAATCCCAGCAAATTTCAAGGATGCCACCATCATCACCCTCTTCAAAAAAGGAGAAAGAACAGACTGCGGAAACTATTGAGGTATCTCCCTTCTAACCTCCTCTAGAAAAATCCTCGCAAGAATCCTTGCAAACCACCTTCTACCCCTCTCAAAAGGCACCCTCCCAGAATGGCTTCCACCCCTCCAGAGGAATAGTGGACATGATTTTCATTGCACGACAGCTCCAAGAAAAATGTCCTAACAAATTTGTGAACATCCTGTGGCTCTTCCATGATGACATGATGGCAACAGTCTTGGACAGCAATGGCCCCAAAGTGACCCATGGTGGAATCAGGTGTCAAACAGGGATGTGTTATTGCCCCAACCTTATTTTCCATCTTCATTGCTATAATACTTCATCTTGTTGATGGGAAGCTTCCCACCGGAGTGGAAATAATCTATCAGAGAGATGGCAAGCTATTTAACCTCAGCAAACTGAAAGCCAAAACCAAGGTTACAACAACATCTGTTGTAGAACTCCAATATGTTGATGACAACATTGTCTGTGAGCATTTAGAAGAAGACCTACAAGCCACTCTAAACACCTTTGCAGAAGCATACGAGAAGCTCGGCCTACCATTGAACAAGTGCTCTTCAAGCAGTCATCAGACAATCCCTCTCCAATGCCAAAAATACAGCTTAATGTTGTAACGTTAACCATTTCCACTACCTTGGCAGCCACGTCACCACAAAAGTCAACATTGACACTGAAATACAACACCATCTGAGCTCTGCGAATGCAGCATTTTTCCGAATAAAGCAGAGAGTGTTTCAGGACCAGGACATCAGTAGGGATACCAAGGTGCTTGTTTATAAAGTGATTGTCCTCCCAACTCTGCTATATGCCTGCGAGACGTGGACAGTCTACAGATGTCATATGCAACTCCTGGAACGACTCCATCAGCGTTGCCTCCAAAAAAATCCTGCAAATCTCTTGGGAAGACAAGTGGACAAATGTCAGTGTCCTCCACCATCAACTCCGCTGGACCAGCCATGTTGTTCGGATGTCCGACCACCCTCTTTCTTCTCCTTAATAACTAATTTGTTCATCACAAAATTTCATCTTCATGAGGAATCCAATGTAGTGGGGAATTTCCAGAGGATCTCTGGACAGTTAACACGAGGCAATGTAGCTACTAAACTCTCTCTTCCAACATATATCCTCCTTTGATGAGAATAGATCTGTTTATCTGGCTTGTGCTTTCTTTAGTATGTCCAGTCAAAGATCACTGATTATCTTCTCAATATGTAGGGTAGAAATATGACATAGCAAGTGTAGATTAAGGGGGGGGGGGGCAAAATACTTCAAATGATTCCACTTGTCAGTAAAAAAAAAAGATTGAACCCCAACATTTCAAAATGTAACCCTTTGAATACTTAAGCACAAGCCACCCAGAATTCAATGGGCCCTGAGTAGACACGATGAAATCATGCATGTGCTCACCCAAATGCAGCTACCAATCCTTGTAGATGAATAATTGCATCTCATTGTGGATGATCAGACCCAAGATGCTTTATTCTCTGTTCAGTATTTGTATTAATGATGTTTCTTTGTGGATTTCTTCCTTTTAGGTTTTCCTAAGAACCTTTCCTGTAAGGCAATTCTGGGTGAAGGAGCTGATACAGTGGCCACCAGCTACTGGGAAAATAATGTTGGAAAAGATCCCAAGCGTTTTGTTCGTTCCAGTCATACGTAAGTACCTGCTAATGATGTTTTAATAATTAATGTTTAATTGTATGGTTTTAATTGTATGTTTCAATTGTATGTGTTTATTTTTATATTTATATGTATTGGCATTGAATCACTGCCTGCTGTAAGCTGCTCTGAGTCCCCTTTTAGGGTGAGAAGGGTGGGATACAAATATGTGAAATAAATAATTGAATAAATAAATAAATAATGTAATAAGATGTTCAGGTTATGAAAACTTAAGTTAATCAGAGGCATGTTCTTTTAAAAATGTTTTAAACAACAACAACAACAAACTTCAATTTTAACTCCACCTTTCTCACCCAAAAGCAAATCTTCTGAACAAATCTTGCTAAGAAAGCCCATTATGTTAAGGTCTCCATAAGTCAGAAGTGACTTGAAGGCACCCAATAGCAATTGGTGGCAATAAGAGAAGCTTGGTTGAACCTTTCACCTGAGTGGATTTTTGCCACATCCGAGAGTTTGGCCGTGAGCCTGCAGTTTTTGTGGGTCATATCTCAAGGCAGGAGATGAGGATGCACACTCTCCACTTTTGGTTTGCTGAGCTCTGTTTAAGAGGACAGGACTGTGGGGAAATCTCCAGCTCTGTAAGGAAAACAGCAAATTGCTGCTCATATTATTATTATTATTATTATTATTATTATTATTATTATTATTATTATTATTATTATTACAAAGACTGAATGGCCATCTGTTAAGGGTGCTTTGATTGTGCTTTTCCTGCATGGCAGGACTGGATGGCCCCTGGGGTCTTCCACTGAAATACTGTTAAGTTTATTTTGGTTAAGAAGTTTGCTGATGCCTGATGAATAATACAATTCATATAATATAATATATAATTTTTTGGGGGGCTCCACATGAAACTTTACTTCAAAAAGCGATCCATGGCTGAAAAAGTTTGAGAACCCCGGGTTTAATCAATCTATTGCAGCAACCTGCAAACACATTCTGGGGATAGGGCTTCTGGGGAAGTAGCTTCTTCCTTCCTTTCCAATAGTTCTGGCAGCAGGATTCACCCATCACTCTGCTTTGGATTCACTTTTGTCTCGTGGAGGGAGGGGAGAGGAAAAAAATGCTGGATACAAGTGTGGAATTAGGATTGGTACGGTTAAGTAAATAAGACACATTATATTGAGTGAAAATGTAAGTGGTATTTCATTATTGAAATTTGTATTACTCTACTTGTGTTAATAATAATAATAATAATAATAATAATAATAATAATAATAATAATAATACTTTTGTTTTTTTGGAGGGCCCATCCAAACAATCCCAAAATATGGGACATGTCTCATTTTTTATCGGAGGCATCCAAATGATGCCTCCAGTAAAAATGAATTAATTTGGAATAAACCAAGTTAGATCTTGGACATCCTGGATCTCAGATTTTGGCCCAAAAACCTCTGGGGTTTGGACAATCCTGAATTACTCCAACCTAGGTGGGAGAGCTTTGCAAGCACAATGCAAATTCAAATGTCTTTCTTTCTTTTAGGTGGATGGAAGCTCTCAAAAAGCAGGTTACGGAGGCCATATTACAAATCAAAGAAGTGCGGAAAGAGGACCTTGGTTTAAATTTCACGTGCTACATGGCCAATGATATGGGATACAAAAGAGTCAATGTTACTTTGTGCGAAAGCCCATCTACAGGTGAGGCATTCTTCCTCTTATTTTCTTTCGATTGCTTGCCAGTCTTCTTTCTAGTGAGTGAGATATAGGGGATTTTCAGGGATGCTTTCAATAATTGAAAGTCCCATGGATCTTGATTGCAGAGGCCTTTGTTTGCAAAAAAATGCTGACATTTGAGACCGCTAATGTTGCTGCAGCGAGGAAGTTACTTTTCAAGGATAAAAGACATCAGGACAAAACTGGTTAGCTTATACCCCCTAATTTCCCAGTCACTTGGAGTTTATGCTTGCAACAGAAAAACAGATAAGACTGATTCATTAAGACAGCCAGGGTCAGAGACATGAAAGCATAATTGTGCCTTTGGTCAATACCACGTGTTTGTCTTCCTGACTTGTAGGTGAACTATAAATCCCAGCAACTACAACTCCCAAATGACAAAAATCAATCATCTCCACAAACCCACCAGTATTCAAATTTGGTTGTATTATTGGGTATTTGTGCCCAATTTGGTCCAGTGAATGCAAATACATCCATGAACATTTTCAATATATGCAATAAAGATATCTCCAAATTTATATGGCAAGGGAAGAAACCAAGAATAAAGCGACTTATCCTAATTGATGAAAAAGAGAGAGGTGGATTTGGCCTTCCGAATCTGAGAACATACTATGAAGCTTGCGGACTCAGTTGGATAAAGGACTGGACTACTTTTTAAAAAAGGAATATGTTGACACTGGAGTGTGCTGATTCAAGACGGGGTTGGCATGCCTATTTGTGGTATGACAAAATTAAGATAGAAAAAAATTTCAATAACCATTATGTAAGAGCGAGATTAATCAAAATATGGGAAAGGTACAAAAAAAAAAAGACTATACAACAGCACACCACTCTGGCTGTCACCCCTTGAAGCATTCCACAGGAGAGAATTAGGCTGGGAGACATGGCCTACATACAGAGATGTTTTAAGGAAAGTGAGAGCAAAATTTGAACTAAAAGAAGAAAAAGAAGTAAAAGAAAATTTTACCAACTTATTATGGTTAAATTATAGACAAATACTAGACTACTATAAAACCGATAAGGAACTAAACTTTGTAGACAGAGATGGCTTCTGGGACATTATTATGAAGACCAACAACAAAACAATCACAAAAATCTACAAAAAATTATTAGAATGGGCAACAGAAACATAACAGATAAAAGAATCCATGATTAAATGGGCACAAAATATAGTTCATCAAATCCACTTAGATCAATGGGAGAAGATTTGGAACCAAAAAATGAAATATACCTACTCCTATAACCTGAAAGAAAATCTGTTAAAAATGATACATAGATGGTACATTACACCGCAAAAGATCTTGAAATTCTACAAAAATACTTCCAATAAATGTTGGAAATGTGAGCTACAAATAGGATCCTTCTTTCACATTTGGTGGTCGTGCCCACATCGACATACAAAAGATCCTTGAAATACGATTGAAAAAGGAACCAGAGTTCTTTTTGCTGGGAATGTTTGATGTTGAAGGAGATAAAAACAAAGACATTATTTTCAATTATTTAACCACCACAGCCAGAATTGTATATGCTAAGAAATGGAGACAAAAAGAAATACCACAAAGAGAAAAATGGCAAAGTAAAATACTGGAAATAATGAATATGGATGAATTAACATACTGGTTATTGCCGAATGAAGGAACACCAAAGAAACATACAAATTGGGACTTGGTGAAAAATTATTTCAAACAACAGAAAATAGAGGTCAATTCCTGAAGGACAACAATATGAAATATAACAGTAACAAAACAGGAAAGCAATTTTGACCAATTCAATAGAAAGAATCTTTTTTGTAGTCTTTCTTTTTTCCTATTTAAAAGATCTTCAAAGAACAGATGGAAGTCCAACCAAAGTTTTTATCTTATCCTTTTCCCCCCGCTCTATTTTTTAGCCCTATTTTTATCTCTATTTCTGTTTTTATTATTATTTTTTCTTTTTCTCCCAGGAGAACCTTTGATTAGACTCCATGGGACTGTGGGTGGTTTTTTTGTTTTGTTTTTTTCTTCCTCCCTCTCCCCCATTTTTTCTCCAATCCCACCCCCCTCCCCATCCCCTGCTCTCATTTCCTACTTTCCTATCTTCTTCACAATATTCTCCCACTTTCCATGTAATCACACTATATCTCAATAAAAATTATTTAAAAAATTACATCCTGCATATAGGATGTTTACATTATGATTCATAACAGGAGCACAACTACAGTTGTGAAGTAGCAACAAAAATGATCTGATTGGGGGTCACCACAACATGAGGAACTGTACTAAGTGGTCGTGGCATTAGGAAGAGTGAGAAATGCTGGGATAAGTGATGGAAATAATATTTTCTGTGATACAGAAAAATATGGAAATGCTTCCATCAAGTAGTCTAGCTTGCATTCAGATGTAAAGTGATGGGCAACATCTTTTAAGACTGCAAATCATTGTTTCCTGTTGCCCTTTACTGCAACTAAAGTTTTAGGGCAATGGTATATTTCAGGGGCATTATTAATATTAGTCAATCAATGATTATTTGTTAATGTCTGGTGTTACTCTTGTTACTCTGGTTAATTTTACTGTTGATTGGATTAAGTCTTGTGCACTTGTTTACCCTTCTTTATGTAGGATTTTGACTTCAATTAGTGTTTTGCTGTATTGCAGATTCTTAAAATGTCCCATGTCCAAAGAAGTGTTTATGTGTGCTGAATCAGGTACCCTCCATATGCATACCAAGAGGTAGAAAACACAAAATGGAATAGAAATCACATGGAATGAAATAAAACACATTTCTTCATTATAAACTATTTCCTAATTCCAAAGTGTTTTAGTATTTCTCCCATGAAAGAAATAGCTGCACATCTTTTCAGTTATACAATGGGCTTAGTTACAGTAATACTGAGGCCCTTTCCAGCTGCATAAAATCCACATTGAATGGGGTTATATGGCAGTGTGGACTCAGATAACCCAGTTCAAAGCAGATATTGTTGATTATCTGTCTTGATATTCTGGGTTATATGGCAGTGTGGGAGGGCCCTGAATTACACTGGAATGTTGTTTGTGTTTTCTCTGTTATTGCTTTTGGACATCTCACCAACTGAATATGCTTTGCATGAATTGCTCATAAAGCTTTTGGGTTTAAAAATGTAATATGATCATAAATAAAGCCATTCCAATTACAGCAATTATGGGAACCATCTGGTTTGAGTGATATTTTCTATACATATTTTCTTTTCTTTTTGCTAGGTAACAGCAACATCTGGCTGATTGTAGCATTTGTTATCATATTAGTTGTTTTAAAGCTATTGGGACTACTTTACTATTTGTTTCGAGTTGACATTACATTATTGTACAGAAGAATATTTAAATATACTGAATCCAGTGATGGTGAGTAAGGATATCAAATGTATGCAACTGCTCAAAAGTGGTTGAAAAGCACATAGATTCACCCAACCCAAGGAGATGCTCCTCTCTCACTGTCTACTGATAGCTGGTTCCTTATGTGGGGAAAGAGTGCTTACCATGGCAAATTAATTCAGAAAATCCTGTCTGAATCCCATCCAATGTGAAACAGGATGCACTACCAAACCAGATGCTCTAGAAAACCAGTTTCTGAACTTATCAGACTATTTTAATAAAATATTAAAATATTAAACTATATTAAACTAGGAATTTAAATGAAGAAATGAGAAGGGTATAGACATTAAATACTTATTTGCATATAATGTTCATTTTAAAAAATACAAAACAACATGCCTGAATGGTTGGCTTTCTAGGTAACAGGATTACAACATATAAAAAGGACAAGGTTTACCACTTTCTCCCACTTAAAAAAAAATCAAGTCCCATTATATATAGTGGTGTAGTAAAATGATGTTCTGTACATAAAATGGCCTTTAGGATTTTTAACAAGTATATTCAAGCTGTGGATCCTAGAATTCCTGGCTGAAGAAACTGTGGAGACAGAGGAGCGACAGTTGTTCCTTCTTTAAAATATTCGCTAATTTCTTTTCCTGCTGTTCACTGTATAACTAGCTGAATGGGCAGATTAAAGACTATTCCTTCTGGGTAATTTATAAAAATTATACTGATTTAATTAAAATAATCCTGAAATTCTAATGAATCTAAGCAACTTTAGTGAATGGTCTGTTCAACTCTACTTTGAATAACATGAATAATTTCAAGTTCACTAAAAGCTTACTGAATTGTGATCCCGTTGAATATATTCTTTTCACAATCTACTGAGCAATCTATTCTAATACATTCTTTTTACAATTTACTTAGCGAGAAGCATGATGCATAACAAAAAACGGCTTGCAGGAAGCGTCAGAATGATCTACTATAACACAACTAATCTGACAATTATATGATTGTTTTTCTACTGAAATAACAATTTTTCTTTCTAATTCATGTTCTAGTTTTGAACTTCTCATTTTATCTCACAGATGGGAAAATATATGATGCATATGTTATCAATCCCACCAATCTTGTAAATAGCACATTCGAAAATAATTTTCTGGGCTCTTTTGTTCATCAGATCCTACCAGAAGTTCTAGAAAATAAATGTGGATATAAATTGTGTATTTATGGGAGAGATGTGTTGCCTGGAGAAGGTAAGTTGCCAAATCAATGTTCTGCGGGGGGAGCAAGGGGAAAAGGTATAAATTAGATTCCTCAGTCCTTAACAACTACCGGCCAATTTCTAATCTCCCCTACTTGGGCAAGGTTCTAGAGAGAGTGGTGGCTTCTCATGTCTAGGGATTTTTGGATGAAACCAATTATCGTAGTTTGGTTTCAGGTCTGGTCACGGTATGGAGATGGCTTTGGTTGCCTTGGTGGATGATGTCTGCAGAAAAATAGACAGAGGGAGTGTGTCCTTGTTGGTTTTCTTGGACATCTCAGCGGTTTCGATACCATTGACCATGGTATCCTTCTGGGGCGACTCTCCAGAATGGGATTTGGGTGCACTACTTGGCAGTGGCTCTGCTTCTTCCTGGAGGATTGCACCCAGTTGGTGAAGCTGGGAGACACCTTCTCGGACCCCTGGCCATTGTCCTATGGGGTCCCACAAGGTTGCATTCCCATGCTTTTCAACATCTACATGAAACTGCTGGGAGAGGTCATCTGGAGTTTTGGGATTCAGTGCCACCTCTATGCAGATGTCATTCAACTCTACTACTCTTTTCCACCTAATTCCAAGGGAGCCCCCCAGATCCTGGACCAGTGTCTGGCCACTGTGATGGACTGGATGAGGGTTAACTATCTGAAACTTAATCCAGGCAAGACAGAGGTCCTCCTGGTCAGTTGTGAGGCTGATTGGGGTATAGCGTGGCAACCTGTGCTAAATGGGGTTACACTCTCCCTGAGGACACAGGTTCTCCTGGACTCTGTGCTGATGCTTGATGCTGTGGCAGGGAGGGCCTTTGCACAGTTAAAACTTGTGTGCCAACTGTGACCGTACCTTGAGAAGACTGACTTGGTCATGGTGCTCCATGCCTTGGTTACATCTAGACTGGATTACTGCAATGCACTCTACTGAGGCTGCCTTTGAAGATGGCCCAGAAACTGCAACTTGTGCAAAAGTCAGCAGCCAGGTTGTTAACTGGAGCAAGTTACATGGAGCAGATGACGCCTCTACTGAAGCAGCTCCATTGACTGCCAATAAGTTTCCGGGCCTAATTCAAAGTTCAGCTTATTACCTATAAAGCCCTAAATAGTTTGGGTCCTGCTTATCTTCATAATTGTATCTCCATCTATGAACTGGCATGAGCGTTAAGATCTACCGGGGAGGCCCTTCTCTCACTCCCACCTCCATCACAAGCACAGTTGGTGGGGACAAGAGAGAGGGTCATCTCGGTGGTGGCCCCCCAGCTCTGGAACTCTTTCTCCAGGGAGATTAGATTAAACCCTATCCACCTTCCAGAAAGACTTGGGTGTTCCAATGTGCCTTTGAATAATGGTTTAGCTACTGATTGAGTCTGCTTAGCCCCAACCTTTTGGATCTCCAGCACTTTATTCCCAGCCTTGGCCCTACAGTTTGCATTGGCACAAACCCTTGCCCTGCTCTATTTGTCCCAAATCTTCACATGCCCACTTTTCTCAGCTACTGGTTGTTCGATGTTTAGTTTATGTTTTATGATGTCATAGATTTTATTGGTTTTACTGTTTTTATACATTTTACTGTTATGTTTTTTTAAAAATTATTAAATGCTTTTCTATAACTACAGTCATAAAATGAGGGGTAGAGTTGGGTAAGGAAAGGCGAGGAATGGGTTAGGGAAGTAAAGAGGAAGGGAAACATTCCTAAGGAGAGGGAAGAGATATAGGTTATCTACTGGGGAGTGGGGGAAGTTTTTAATTGTGTTACTTGTAACCTTTGTTTATATTGGGCTTGGTTCCCATGTAAGCCGCCCCGAGTCCCTTTGGGGAGATGGAGGCGGGATATAAGAATAAATTTATTATTATTATGTTATCCTGATCTCCCACTAGCAGAGGTGAGTAAATTATTATTATTATTATTATTATTATTATTATTATTATTATTATTATTTCTGTTTCTAACCTCAATTATGACCAGTCAATTCACAGCTGTAACATGTGCTATTTCTCAGTCAATCAAGATGTGGAGAAGCAGAAATGATATGTTGCAATTATCAGGGGT